TTATCTTATCTTACAGAAGGAAGCCTTCTGGACACATAAATCCATTCATTTCTGGGTGGCCTCAGTGACACTGTCTTGGGTGGAAAGTGGAGCAGCAGTTTCTCCCCAATGAGGCCTTTGTGTTTGGGACCCTCTGTCGCCTCCTGGTGGTGGGGAGTATACGCTGCCGGCAGAGTTACCCCAAGGAAACCTCAACCAGCTCACCTGGTCTGTCCAATATGGTGGCCACAATCATGGTGGCTGCTGATCATGCAGTGTGGGTGGACCCAGTAGAGAGGCTGTAGATCTGGAATACCCAGCAGGTGCCAAAGATTTAGGACAGTGTAGTGTAGAATGTTTCAATATTTGTACATTTAATTCATATTGAAATAATATTTTCGACAAATAGAGTTAAGGCAAATCTACCATGGAAACTAATTGCATCTATATCTCTTAATTTTTCTTAAAGAGTCTATTGCAAAAAATTTTAAATGACAGATGGGCTTCAAATTTTGTTTCTATTGAACAGGACAGCACCGCAAAGTCACAATATCAGTCACTTGTGTTTCAAATAGGATAGAGGGCTTTCCTGCACATTAGAAAAGGTCATGTCTTAGCTGAAAGCACAGTGGGAGGCCACAGGAAGGTGCTGAAGACCAGGGGTTCTGGGCTGGAGAGAACTTCGTGTGCTGCCGGGTTGCCACATTCTTATTCTGACTTGGACCAAGCTGCTCAGCCCTTCACGCCTCAGTTTCCCAATCCGTGACCTGGGTTGTCAGGGGAGTGTTTTCTCACAGATTATTTGTGATTCAACAAGATAATAAATAGAAAGAACTTTGTTGGTGCTTAACAAGTATTAAGCACTCACGACTGTTCACTCCTCTTATAACTGTTAATATCCTTATTCCTTATCCGGATACTTACTACACAGCACAGGCGTTGGAACAGGAGTAGGAACGTGACAAAGGAACAAAGTTTTGCGGTTGTGACATTTGACACTGAGGAAAATTTCTGGCCACCCCAAAGTGCACACAGGTATGTGGGACCCCTCACACTCACCAGCTGAAGTCCTAACCAGCAGTGCCTGAGAGTGGGACCTTATTCAAAACTGGAGCCAGTTCAGATGTAATTAGTTAAGCTGGGTTCATGCTGGAGTGAGCTGAGCCCCCACCCCAATTCCGTGTGCCCAGTCGCCTCAGGAGCTCAGGTCTCTGTCCCCGTGGAAACTCTCAGTCCCTCCTGCTGGCCTCCTAGGTCTTTCTCAGTCCAGCTGATTCTTTGAATTTGCCTTTCCTGACCGCAGCAACCGAGTTTCAGTCAGAGATTCCAGAGCTTTGAATGATGTGGGAAGCAGGTTAACAATAGACTTTCTCTCAGGCTGCATGAGTGGTGTGTTAGAGACGGGGTGATGTCCCTGGTCATTTTTGGGGTCATACTTTCTCTGTGTTTGGATTTGAAGAGTTTAGGTTTGGTTGCTATGTCATCAAGTTCACTCATCTTTTCTTTTGCAACGTCTAAGTGCTGTCAGTCTGACCCTGTGTATTTTGATCTTAGTTGCTGTGGGTTTCATTTGTAGAAGTTCAATTTGCATTATTTTTCAATATTTCATGTCTCCACTTACCAGGTTCAATCTTTCCTCAACCTCAAGAAAAAATTGGAATAAAATTATGAACGTTGCTTTTGTCTGCTTGTCTGTCTGGGCAATTCCAGGTCAAGCTTCGATTAATTAGTTATTCAAGTTATTATGGCTCTTGTTCTCCTGATTCTTTATAGGATATTTTTGGTAGGATTCAGGTCTTGTGAATTTTCCTTGCTGGGTACAGGTTATTTTTTATTTCTCCGTGTATGTTTGATTTTTCTTTTTTTTTCAGTTGTTCTGTAAAGTGACTTGGAGACACTCAAATCCTTTCTTCACCTGCTTTTACATTTTCTTAAGTGGAACCAGGATGGCCTTTCATATGGGGCTGATTACCTCCACTAGTGGTGTGAGTTTTTCTGATTGGTCACCCTGAGGCCTTAATTTGGAGCTTCCCCCTCTGACTGGGAAGCAGTCCACTTGTGATGTGTTTGTGATTCTGCGGAACTTCCTCCAGCATCTTTGGTGGCTCCTTCCTCAATCTCAGGATGATTCCTCCCTCCTGAGAGTTCATCAGAAGGTTAGGACTATTTGGACGCTGCAGAGTCCTCTCTGTGCAGATGTCCTCCCTGATACTCTTTCCTCTAGATGATCCATTTCTTTTTGGGATCCTTGGAAATTCACTCGGAAAAATGCATGCACGAAGTTGAATGGGATCTCTCTGGAAGAAAGCAAGGGAGGCCACTGGTCACAGCTGCATTGCGGTGATAGCTGAGGACTTGTGTGGGAGTGGCTGCATGTCATCCTGAACTGAGGCAAGGACTTGGAACCTTGTTGCCAGGCATCACTGCACCTGAGTCACACGCAGGGAAGGGGCAGGACCTTGGGGGAGCCCATCTCTACAGCAACGGCCCAACCTGGGGAGGGCATAGCTGTGAGCTGGCAGAGTCTCCAACACCAGTGGGTGGTGTGTCAACCCGAAGGAGAGACTCCACACTGACTGCTGCACTAGTTTGATCTGCTCAGGGGCCTAGGTTGCCAAGGGAACCTAAAGCTTCAGGAGCTCAGATGAGCTGGGTGGTTCTGGGGATCAGTCCAGGAGAAGTCGGCGGGTGAGGTGCCAGTCACTGACACAAGGAAATCGAGGGTCCATTCCCAGTGGGTCTGTGTCTCCCTCTATCTGTCCTCTCATTCAGGCCCACATTGCCCTACTCGTTCCACAGCCCAGACACCAGAACATCCTGGTCCAGCCACTCTAAGACAAGGTCTGATTCACCATGTGTAGAGCTGCCGGGAGGGAGGGCTGGGGGAGGGATTACGTCCTGGGAGCTCAGATCTATAGGGACCCAGCCAGACCCGTCACTGCTTTGTCCACAGACCTCCTGGGGCTGGAGGAGAGGGTGACAGAGATGGAGGGGTTTGTGTCCGACTTCCCCATCTGCCTGGGTCACTGTGTGCATTGGCATTGCTGTCATATGACTGACAGTAATAGTCAGCTTCATCTTCGACCTGGGCCCTGCTGATGTTCAGGGTGACCACGTTGCCTGAGTGAAACCCAGAGAACCACTCGGGGATCCCTGAGTGCCCACTGTTATCATCATAGATGACCAGCACAGGGGCCTGGCCTGGCTTCTTTTGTTTTTTTTAAAACTTAAAAAAAGTTTTATTTTATTTTATTTAATTTCTTAAAGAATCTTTTTTTTAAAATTATTTATTCATTTATACACATTTTACAATGTTGAGTCAAATTCCAGTGTTCAGCACAATTTTTTAGTCATTCATGGACATATACACACTCATTGTCACATGTTTTTCTCTGTGAGTTATCATAACATTTTGTGTATATTTCCCTGTGCTATACAGTATAATTTTGTTTATCTATTCTACAATTTTGAAATCCCTGTCTTCTGCTGGTACCAATAAGCATAAATGCTTCCTCAGCTGCCTCCTTGGCAGGTGATCCTGGCCGTCTGTCCCAAGGACTCGGACACCGCGTAGGGCTGAGTCAGTGCAGAAGAGGCCACGTAACCTGCAGTAGAGGAGAGGAGAGTGAGGGTGGGGACCAGTGTGTCATTCCCTAGGACCACGCACCCCACAGAATTCCCTGTGCTGAGCTGACATTCAGGGCCCGGCTGATGTCTGGGTACCCAGGGGTCTGAGTCCTGGGGCAGCACCTGTGCAGAGAGAGAGGACGGACAGCAGGGGAGGGGTCCAGGCCATGGTGTAGGTGCCCTGAGCTCTGCTCTGAGGTCACTCAGCAGGGCAGCGCTCCTCACGTTCCCTCTTATTCCCTCAGAGCTTTGGGGCAGGAGGGTTTGGGTTTATGCAAATTTACCCCCTCCCTGGGGCTCTTCACTGAGAGGGTAGTCACCAGTCCTTCAGCCAGGGCAACTCACTCAGCCTCCTCCCTGGCTTCTTATGTCCGAAAATCAGACCTGGCCTCCTTGGGCCTTGATCTCAGTCCCCTTCCTGTCTCTGACCACATGACCATTGTCCCAACCATCCCGGCCTGTGGATTCTGCTGGGTTGGCTCAGTGGAGTTGTTAGCCTGGCTGGATCCTAGAGAGACAAGAGGGATGCACTGTGCCAG